TATATAGTATGAAATGATATATTCAATTAGATGTATGGATAAGAGCCAAATTAATTGGCCTTTTTATATGTTAAACGCAATTAATGCTAGTAGCATTATTCTTGACAACCAGGGCCCAAAATTTCTGTCTTTTAAATGGTAACCACCCCGAGATCATAGCACATTCTTGTAATCTTCCAATTACAAATGAAATGAAAATGGTGCGAATCTTATGTTGGAAAAAAAAGGTTTTATAAGTCAAAAATGGGTCAAATTTGAGCATAAATTTCTGTGGGACCCTTAATCTAAAATTAACACGACCAAGCATTTTCATATTCTATTTCGCAACAGGATTTACATGATATATTTATTTGTCAAAAACCATTAAGTTTTGAATGTAATATTTTGATTTAAAGTGACCTATTTGAACTTTGTATAAAAGAAGATTTTGATTATATTGGGGTTTAATTCACCAATGGCCACCCAATTTTAGGGACAAAAGTGATATAATGACCACCAAACAAGGCTGAAACAACCAATATAACAAAATTACAACTAAGCATGATCTTACCTAGAATCAACACCCTTAACCGCGTTCAAACCATCTACAAAATCAGCAAAAATGTACCTATGTGGAATCTTATGGACAAAAATGGGTCTATTTCTAGCAATTGAATACGATGACACCATCGATAATGGTGGCAAAATAAATTTACTCAAAATTCGATTGAGATGTATTCTTAAAAGAAGACACCAAATTAGACTCCAATAGTACAAAAGTCAACTCTAAATCCATCCGAGTTCTTAAAATATACTGATTACTCGAAGATTCAGTATTACCCTGCAAGATATATAAATGAAAATTTCTATGTCCCATCAGCACAATATGAGCTCATTTGATAACTTTCAGAACTCCACCTTTAATAGTGTACCTATACCCTTTTGAACCAAGAGTACTTAAGAAGATAAAATTTTTCTTCATATCTGAAACGTGTCTCACTACATTAAGTGTTCTAACCATTCCATCAAACATCTTTATTCTGATCCGACCAATATCAGCTATCCGACAAGGTGTGTTATTACCGGTCATCGCAACACCTTTTGAAACGTCTTCATATGTTGAAAACAATTCTCGATTGGGTGACATATGAAATGTAGAAGTTGTATAAAAAAATTCAAACCTCATCAGGTCTGGAATTGTAGTCGACATAAGTAAAAGCTCTCCATCACTTCTAAGATTTTTTGCGATACTTGCTTCTCTTGAAATTTCTGATTGTTGACTTGCAAATGCCTTTGATTTATTCTGCAACTTATAAAAATTGTTTACCAAGTGTCAATTTTTCTTGCAATAATTACAAAATTTAAAGTTAGATTTTCACTTACTCCTCGAACGATAACCATGAACAATGAAACCATCTCCATGATCCTTAGATGCTATAAGATGTTTAATCTTTTCCTTTGAATATAGAATATCGTAGACTTCTTCGATAATAAAAGTATCAAGATTATATACTATCGTATCTCTAAAAAACATGTATGAGGTGGACAATGAACATAACACAATCAATCCCAAGTCTTCTTCATCATATTTGACCTCCAAGGTCTCCAAATCAGTAGTGATTCCTTTAAAAGCAATTAGGTGATTCTCAAAAAATGTATATTCTGTCATACAATGAGAATATAGACATGTTTTAGATTCAATTTGCTAATAAGATTCTTTGTCATGCATAATTGTTCTAATTTTATGCAACATCTGACTTCACCTTCAAAATATCCTGGAATATTATTTGAAATATGAAGAAGTATCTGAGATAGAGCA